TTGGCCCCCTACTGTTTTCTAAGTATTTACCAGTCAATTTTCTGGTTCGCTTCCTCCATTTTGTATCGACATTCTTCATGTACAAGTAGCTGAATACCTTCCTAGCCCAACGCTACTTCCCCATTTCTCTCAATTGATTCTCAAACTTTATCTTGCTGCTAGCTTCCCTGCCCTCAAATGATGTCCATCCCATATCACCTTGTACTCCCCGATTTGGTGTATTCCCGTGAGCTCCTAAGGCAAGCCTACCTATTCCACGTTGCTTAATTTCTAATCTTGTTTGAACTTCTGGTTTCATGCACAAGACCACATTGCCAAACGTCAGACTAGGAACCATGACCCCTTTCCACATTCCTCTGACAACATGATACCTATTGTAATTCCACAGTGCCCTGTTTTTCATCACCGCTGCATTCCTGTTACCTTTCGTCGTCACGTATATTTCTTGTCCCCTTCGGTACTCGGCCCCATTGCTTGTCCGTATGCCCAGATATTTGTATTTATCTGTTATTTCTAGCGTGACCTCGTGTATTCTAAGCTCACTACCTTCATTGTCATTAAAAATCATGACTGCTGATCTTTCCTTACTGAATCAGAAATCTAACCTATCTCCCTCATTACCGCAGATGTCCATCAATCTCTGCAAATCTTCCTTGTTGTTGGCCATTCTGAAATCTAACCTATCTCCCTCATTACCGCAGATGTCCATCAATCTCTGCAAATCTTCCTTGTTGTTGGCCATTAGCACTATATCATCTGCGTACATCAATGCTGGTAGTGCCTGTTCAATGAGTTTTCCTTGTTTGACGAAAGAGAGGTTGAAGCCCAGTTCACTTTCCTCTAATTTGGCCTCTAATCCTTTTAGGTACATCATGAATAACCACAGGGGCCTGTGTTCCTTTTCTGCTATTTCGATACACTGCGTCAGTGAGAACAGATTGTCTTCCAACCTCCTGTGTTTCCGAAACCCATTCTGCAGTTCCCCCAGCACCCTCTCATCCTCCATCCATGCTTGCATTCTTTCCTTTATAATCTGCATCGCCAGCCTGTAGACCACTGATGTCACTGTTATAGGACGGTAGTTGTTTATTTCAGCTTTGTCCCCCTTTCCTTTATAGATCATGCTCATCCTGCTAAGTTTCCATCCATCGGGGACTGCACCATCGATTATTATTTTGCTCGCTGCCTCTCTCAAAGCCTGCTTAGACTTCGGACCTAATGTCTTTATCAGCATAATTGGAATGCCATCTGGGCCTATTGATGTACTACTAGGAACCCTCTTCTCAGCCCTTTCCCACTCTCGTTGTGAAATGGAGCCATTGCGCCATTTGATTCATCTTTGTCTATTGCGGTGCATAAAGCACTTCTTTGTTGAAATTTTTCTGTCACCCTTGTTCTTATATATTCAACAGCTTCGTCCCCTTCTAGCCTAGCACCTTGAGCTGTAGCTGTAAACCTCTGCTCTAGGCTCGTCTAATTTCTTAGGGAGTTTAGATGGTTCCGAAATTTCGCTGTCGGGTAGTCTCCAGCCACCACTACTTATAATCTATAAAATACTTGGTTTGTAAGTGACGGCTACATATATGAGTGTAGTACGAAGATTTATTAGGAGACCAATCGTTCTGTCTGATTACTGCAACCACGCTCCCCCAAGCACCAGCGGAAGCTGCAATCTTTTACAGCCACAGGGGCCTGTGTTCTCCCTCATTACCACAGATGTCCATCAATCTCTGCAAACATACTTGTTGTCGGCCATTAGCACTATATCATCCGCGTACATCAATGCTGGTAGTGCCTGTTCAATGAGTTGAACCTCTCTTTCGTCAAACAAGAAAAACTATTTGAACAGGCACTACCAGCATTGATGTACGCAGATGATATAGTGCTAATGGCCAAAAACAAGAAAAATTTGCAGAGATTGATGGACATCTGCAATAATGAGAGAGATAGGTTAGATTTCAGATTCAGTAAGGAAAAAACAGGCACCCCCGACACAAACACAGGGCAGCCTGAATTCTGTGAGACCATTGCTGCCATATATCATCAAACGCCAGAATACCAAAAAAAAAAGGGTAATGTTACGTCTGTGAAAGTTAGTTTAGACGCGACGTAACGGTATGTTCAAAGGTGCAGACAAAAGGAAATCTGATGACAACACCACTGTCCTTGTTGGTGCCTGCTGCTCTTTCTCTTTTCAGTCACTGAATGATAGAATAAAAAAAAAAAGGAGCAGGGGGTAGTCACCTACAGTGGAATATTAAAGGCCAACTCCAGTGATTTTTTGACCATGTCAACGCAATGGTGTTTCTATGTTCCTGAGACACTCTTGTCACGAGCCTAATAGCTGAAATGTTAAAGAAATTTGAAAATTTTTAACACCCAAAAAGGTGCAATACCAATCCCAATCGGGCACCCTGTCTGCATATGACGTACTGTTTGGTAAGAACAAGAGTCCCGCCGGAAAGCCAGACCAGCGAAGCGCCGGCTAAACACCACGAAGGAATAAAGCTTTCCCATGATATACCCGTGCCAAAAACCGCCGCTGCTGCCACGTGGCCAGCACAATAAACGCTGTCACGACTAAAGTAGCGATGCCATCGGCTGTGTCACTTTCGTTGACATGCCAAACATGACGTCACACAGACAGGCTTGCCAATAATTTTGGCAAGCGAGGTGGGCTTTTTGAGGCATCTTTAAAATTCACTTGCAAACAATCAGTGCATCTCTCAAGCCTGTAATTTGGCATAAATTACGGAAATGTGCAAAGGAACATACCTAGAGAATTTCATTGAGATTGACTGACCTCGAAAATTCGCCGGAGTTGGCCTTTAAAGCGCATGCTCGATGGTCTTATCATACACACCGCAAATTTGAAACAACGCGTAGAAAGGACCGTTCCGAGAAGTGCACAAAATTTCTACACAAGCTTCGAAAGTATACGCGCTTCCACTGCTGCTGTCATTAATGTACTTGGCACTGATTGTGCCCTTGTGCATTCCGTATTATGCAGTTTTTTTGGATGCTTCCCATATGCACGCGCATGAGACGGCCTGCACCAGTCGGTTTTCTTTGAACCTACTGCGTACGGGTTCAATTGTGATGCAGATGTGGCATTACTTCATGCTGTCTGCACTCTCTCTGGTTTTGCCTGCTAATGGTCAGGTTTCATCAACTGTCAGGTAACTAAAAAAAGTGGTGGTCCCAATACACATGGTCTTGGATTCTCGGCAGTGAGCACCAAATTTCCTTCCCAGCAAAGCTATAGTGGGAGACAAGCAAAGCGCATAGCCTTCTTGTCGTGGCCTTGCATCAGATTTCCCCATCTTACACGTTACTTCTTGGCATTAAGTGGCTAAAATGCAATAGATTTGCTAACCTGGAGTTCTACATTGCTGATTCAGAGTCGTACAGGGTGTGCAGCTGTTGCCTTGCGTTTTCCACACACACTCCTTGACGCATGCACTATTACAACATTGGTACAGGGCTGTTACAGGCCTTAACAGCCCTATACCAAGGGGTGCCTGGTACCAGTGCTGCCAAAACATGGACATTAAGTTCGGGACTGCGACCAAGATACAAATGTGCTTTGCTCTGTATTTATACGTGTTTATACCCCTGGTGCGTTTTCCCATTCTATGCTTTGTCCAGGTAAAAATGTTTCGAAGTGTTTGTTCTTGTTCTGAAAACTGTGTTTTTCCCACATCACTTTTGGAGAGAAACATCTACTGCTCTATTCCATTTATCACAATTAATTACCCATACACACCTACCAACATGAGGACCTCAAAATTCAGGAGATTCTTACGCGACAAAAGAAAACTAGAGTACATTTTTTGGTCATCAGCAATCACACTGGTACTTGCTATTATATGACGCACGCACATCCCTGTAATTATGGGACAAAATGCACAATGTCCCATGACTAACAGGTTGTAATGTAAACCTTTCTGTGTACGACACTGTTTGCATGAAGGCACTGTTTATGCACCAAGGTGCTTAAAACAGCAGCTGTATAGTAAGAAATGTGCTTCAATATGTGTAAAACAATCACTTCTCTATGCATTATCATGACTTCTCTAAAGTTAATGATAATTCACTGAAATATAAATGACAAAGGCCACAAGCAAATGATGAGGCAGTTCTACTTTAAGGGCAGAACAAGAGGTGCCCTTCCCACTCTTTAATTCGGTGAGGTGAGGGGACAGCCTCGCAGCTCCTCTGCAATGCTTTTACAGTTCTCAAAGTCTGAAAATTCTAGATCCACCATCTTTTGTTACTTATTTTCTTTTCACCATGGGGTCAAGACTGTTTTTCTGGTGATTTATGGCAGTGCCTGTACACCTGGGGGGACAGGCAAAAATTTGGCTGTATAAAAGGCAAATCATCAGAATATTGAAGAGACCATATGCTGAGAATTTCATAGAGACTAGTGGGCATATAAAAACCACGAAATTCACTCTCACTGACACACCTACTGTCCAAACTTCAAGTTCTCACTTTACATTTAGATGATAATTTCTCTCCCACTAACGTACCCATCTTTTTTTTCTGTTTTCTACATGGGCCGTACTCCGAGATAATCACTTCTACTGAGTGTGCTGCTTTGTAGGACATAATCTTGCATGCCTAATGACCCTACCTGTCTGCCTTTCCTTGACCAGCCTCTCAACATACACAATATTATAGCAACTTCTGCAACTCAGAATATGACTCCAGTGCACGAAATACTTGTTGTGATACATAAAACCGCACTTTTTATAATCCTCACATAAGATAAACAACTGTTTGTAAACCAACAAATAATAATGTTTGCTTCAAGTGTCCAAAGTGTTGAAAAAAATGTAGCAGGAGCATAATAATACTGGTAGACGTGTGCCACCAACTCTGTTTGCTGGTACTGCACCACACCTAACTCGTTTGTTCCCTGTCCAGGTCTTGCACATCAAGCTGCTATGCATTTTACAGATGTGCTTTTTACGTAACATGCACACAAGACTGTATATAGAAACGCTGTAGCAACATGGTTGCACATTTATTTCCAAGTAACAATAAAATATAAAACACTAAAATAACAACCTATTGTCAATTTAAAAAGTGGATGAATTCACTTGAAGTCTACACTTTGGAATACACAAATGTAAAATTTAAAGTGACCTTTCCAGGCCACAGCATTTTCTATCGCTTTTTGGCAGATAATTGGCAAAGCATAGAAAAATAACCTGTTTCTGTAAAACTGAAATCAAGAAAGTTCTTCTTAATGAATAATTATAGTACACTTAAATCAGCTCCAAGCTTCGTTAAATGGCTGCAGCAAGCTTCTTCATTGTAAGCAATAAAGATGGCACCTTCTAAAGCATAGATGTAGGTGCACGGACTAGTATTTGCATGATTTGAATGTGCCCACAGCAGGTGGTGCAATAATGCCACCCGTGTGCATGCAGAGTACTTTGAAGACAGGAGTGTGGTGACACTTAAGTGCCGAGGGAATAAGGTGATGATGTCACAAATATACGCAAGGTGATCTCGGCTCAGATGACCTTCACCAGTTCTTGAGCTCGTCGAGAACTTGAGCTATGTAAGGATTGCCTCCAAGCTTTTCAGCTTCCCTTCGAGCTCTGAAACAATAAACACAATCACAAGCTTTACAAAGAGCACTTGCAAAAGCACAAGTGAATACATATGCTGCTTTCACAAACACCACTAAAGTGAAAACAAGCATGATGAATGAGGGAATCTATGGTGCCAATTTTTTTTTTTTTAGATGTGATGCAGCTTATAGTAGAGTTCAATCTAGTGTGCATTACACAACGTTACTGCACATGCGCTACAGCCGATGATCCAAGCACTGCCAGAATGCGCTCACGTGCTAGCGCATCTAAGCCTGTGTAAGGGGCTTGGTGAGATGCTGTGTTCTCTTCCCCTTATACTCTCTCAGCTATCATGTGATGACGTTGCGGAATGAGATTATGCAGACATACAGAAACCAACGTGTTGTATCCAAGTCAGAATGCACTGGCACGCGCTAGTGCATTCGAGCCTGCGTAAGTGGCAGTGTAAGAGGTTGTGTCCTCTCCCCCTTACGCTTTCTCAGCAATCACGTAATGGCGTCGGGGAACGAGACTCTGTAGATGTGCGATGAACCCGCGTGGCGTACTTCAACAAAAGTTTGGGAGGAGTAACAGCAACAAAAACTACAGTGAATTCATGGTGTGCTCCACTTGAAAGGACGCGTTTACATCGGACAAGGTGCCTGTGATGAACAGAACTTCCAGTCAACCCATGCACTGCTTCACATGCTACTCAGGGTTCCCTTTAGTAGGAGACAGTATAATTTTTTATGCATGTAATATTGCGGTCAAACTGGGTAGGCATGCGGGCGTTCCTTCTTATGACCTTCACTATCGCTCCAAACACAGCGGAAGTGTTCCTCTTCAGTACAGCGGCCAATAGTGGCAGAGCCACAACAGCCCCCCGGAGGTGCAGTGGGAGCTAGAAACAGCCACACGCTGTGACACTGCTGCTATACAAGGGGCGTTTTACAGTCATCCAAGCAACGAACCTTGCTTCTGTGAAAAATGCACAGTGCACAGCGAAGATCCTGCAAAGCTAGCATGTGCTCGCATTTACTTTGCATGGATGGCAGTTGCAAACGGAGCGGTAGGGTCACAGTAAAACCATGGTGATGTGGCGGGAAATGGAAACAGCCACATTATAAAGGCCATAAGAAGGCATGCCTGCATGCTTCTCCAGTCTATTGGCTGTCATAATAAGTAGGGATAAGAATATTTGTAAAATCAGAAACCATGTAGCTACTGGGTTGGATGGGCCAAGCGCCGTCCCTATGGAAGCAGCCCCATTGCGAAGGCCATAAGAAGGAATGCCTGTGTGCTTCTCCAGTTCAGCTGCGGAATTATGTAGGGACAAGATTACTTGCAGAATTAGAAACAACGTCACTGCGGGATTAGGTGGTCTGAGTGCCATCCCCATTAACCCTTTCCCTAAAGCAGAGAAAATGGGTGCTTTTTGTAGATCACACTAGATCTTTTTCGCTAAAGGAAATACAGCGCCTAATATTTTAAGTAGTAATACATAAACGTTAAAAATCAAGGCTGCGCAGTCCAAATACAAACTGCCTAATGCAGTAAACTAGTTTTTCTTGTTCACGAAGGATGGCACAGTATGTCTAAGATTGGCGTGGAATATCTCTGAAGCGCCCATTCGAACCATCGATGGCGGGCTATCGATGACATGGGGGTGTGGTATGGAAAGAGTTAAGCATGTTGCTTCTTCATAGCCCGCCTGCTGGCAAATATAATGAATTGTATGATAGAAACGAGCATGTATATTTCTCTCCAATTTTAAAGTGGCTCATGTAAATCCCCATGTGTAGAAATGGAGCTCTTAGTGAGATAGCAAGCTGCCGGCCGATGCTCATTCTGCCTATCTTGTCCAAAGTCATCAATGCACGACTCGTTACCTTTTTAACAAAATACTATGTCGTGAACGATTCATGATAGGGCTTCCATAAAAGGAAATCGACTGAAATGGCATTACTACTCATTCAAAATGAAATTCTATTTTATGTTGGCTTACTGATTTAAGGAAGGCACTTGAGTCTAAATCACAATATTCTACTATATAAACTGCATGATTGTGGTATATGCATGGCATTGCCCTTGATCTCATGAAAAGCTATATTTGTAACAAGAAGCAATGTGTTAAGCTCGGTGACTTGGCGTCTCCAACTACTACTATTGGAAAATTTGTAAAATCCTAGGGCCTTTCTTCTTAACACTCTACATCAACAACCTATGGGATGCGCCCGATTCACTTAAGCTGGTCACGCATGCTGATGGCACTAACCTATTCTCTTACGAACCAACTTTAGGTAACTTAAGGGCTAACTCCGGAGATTTTTCGATGTCAAGGGATCTCAATAAAATTCAATGGGTGCATTCATTTGCACATTTTTCCCATTTACGCCAAGTTGAGAGCCTCAGAATTTTACAGATTATTTTAAAATTAATTTTACAGATTGCTACGAATCGCTAACCTAGCTTGCAGAATTACTGGCAACATTGTGTGTGACGTCAAGCTCTGCAAGGCGACGAAAGTGAAGGAACTTAGGTGCAACTGCAGTATCTGCTTGTCTGCTATGGATCGTGTCTGTTTGGCCGGCACATCCTTGTTTGAGCTTGCGATTTCTTTTTATATGTGGGTAGATGCGCGATGGGTGGCAAGTGGCATTTCATTGTGCGACGCACACAATAACAACCACCGAAAACTCGCAGTTGTCGACTACACTTCGTCTTGATCATAGAGTGTTTTAGCTAGCGCTGCTGGCTTACCGCACGAAAAGTACAGTTAATATCGTGCCTGTTAAATTATGTGCATGCACGAAATTTCAACGTACTTAAACACTTTCTGTAATAAAGGCTGGATACAGTGTGACTGTCTCTACAACTATATGGTAAGCTGCGCGTCATGAGGAAGCCACAGTAGAACTCTTTTATAAACGACATGCACCAGAGAGCAATTCTTGTCTTTTACATGAAGTGTCTCTTATAAGCAGGATGCCACATTATGGCTTTTCTTATCAACACCTATTTCAATGTTGGCACACTGGTGTCTCTCATACCCATTTGTCTCGTAAATCAGTGTCTGTTTTAAAGGGGTTCAACTGTGCTTACTTGGCTGATATTAATAACTGATCTAAAGAAGTCATAGTGCGATCGACAAATTTATGCCCTATTTCCACGACAATATTAAAGAGTTAGTTTGACGTCGAACTTCTTTGTGTGAGCATCATGATACATTTTAGCCCATCGCCGAAGCCACAAACTTGGTTCTGGACAAGTGGTTCCAAACGCCAGTGTTATGCGCATTCAGGCAAGCAGATGCAAAAATCTGTTCTGCTTAATCAAAGAAGAACAGCGATGCTCGTTGACCTCCAAATGCATCCGAATCGCAGCTGTTTTTGTCCGACAGCTTTGAGGAGCTTGTGCACATGATACGATCAGTCACAGAAATGGCACAGCACGGTCCTCTATCCGCCGAAAGTCTGCTCTTTCGGCATAAGGAGTTTTCTAACTTTGTGCCGGCAGGACTGGCATGCTTCGCAAGGTTTCCGGTTCTTACCAAATACTATGTCGTTCATAGACAGTACACTCGGTTGGGTTTCGGCATGGGCCAGCACTTTGAGAGACTACTCACTCATACTCATTCACCATAATTTTTTCAGCCTTCACACTCCCTCACGTTCATACTCACGTCTACTCAAATTCATAGCGCTTCACTCACACTCATGACTACTCACACTCATGAGTACTCACACGTCTACTCAAATTCATAGGTCTTCACTCACACTCGTACTCACAACTACTCACACTCGTGAGTACTCGCTCACATTCATACGTCTACTCATACTCACAGGTCAATCACTCATGTTCATACTGACGAATACTCCCACTCTAAGGCACTCACTAACTTCATACTCACGCCCGCATACACTGACTCATGTTCATACTCACGCCAACTCACACTCATAGGCCCTCACTCACGTTCATACTCATGACTACTTGCACTCATGAGTACTCACACTCGTTAATACTCACGGCTACTCATACACATAAGCACTCACTCACGTTCATACTCACGACTACTCACACTCATAATTACTCACGTTCACACTGACGCCTACAGTCATAAAGTCATAGGCACTCACGGTCACACTCACACCTACTCACACACATAAGAACTCACTCACACTCATACTCACACCTTCCCACACGCATACACACTCACTTTCATACTCATCATCATCATCAGCAGCAGCCTGACTATGCCCACTGAAGGACGAAGGCCTGTCCGCTGTTCCACCAGTCAACTCAGTCCTGTGCTTGCTTCTGCCATTTTATACCTGCAAACTACCTAACCTCATTTGCCCACCTAACTTTCTGTATCCCCTTCACCCACTTGAATTCCCTTGGCATCTACAAAATTAATCGGCATAAAACATAATTAACGTAGTACAACAACTTCGAAAGAGAACAGTGCTTCGGATAGGTATCAGTGCACATGAACTTGTAAAAGAGCACGTCTATATGACGGGTAGTAACTGCAGAGCCGAACCACGAGATTGATGTAACTGTAAGAATAAGACTGGGGTGGAGCACATTCAGCGAGCATTCTCAAATCATGAATGATAGATTACCACTATTCCTCAAGAGGAAGGTATTTAACAGCTGCATCTTACCTGTACTTATCTACGGAGAAGAAACCTGGAGGATGATAAAGAGGGTTCAACTTAACCCCTTGGTACCGTGCAAAAAAAAGTTTCTTCATATGTCTCGAAAAATCGTTTTTGGCAGTTTGAAAAGTACTCCAGCACGCATTGCAGCATACCAAACTTTACACAATGAAATGCTCTTTCCGAAAAATATATGTTGTAGAGCAACAAGAATATTTCAGAATGAATAAAAATGTGAAGTGCGACTTTGGTTGCCGGTTGATAAATAGTGCAATAAAAAACACTACATATGCAAAGCTATTCAAAACAAATAAAAATAAAAATATAAACTTTCTACATAAATGACACAGGAATGGTATAAAATAT